GCATGTACAGTGTGATTGAAACTTCGTGGCCCATGAGCAGAAGTCGGTATTTTGTGGAAGAGCCACACTCAAGGGGCCAAAGAGCCGCATGTGGCTCGCAAGCCACAGTTTGCAGACCACTGGCCTACGCCAGTGATTTTCAACCAGTATGCAGTGGCACACTGTTGTGCTGCAAGAGTTTTTAAAATATAAAATACTTGACTATTTAGTCAGGAGCACTGATCCCTTTTTTCCCTTAGATTGTCAAATTAAAAAATGACAACAGCCAACACAACAATAGCTGTCCAGTGTGAGTAAATCAAAATTAGACCTAAGGCCATGAAGACCTTTTTCTATGCCTTTATTATTTCACTAGAGGCCTGATGCATGAAATTTGTTCAAGAGTAGGCCTTCACAGCCCCGGCTGCCTTGGCTGCCCTTGCAGCCCCGCTGGCTTTGTCTGGAAGGTCATTTGGAAGGTTGTCCAGGCGGTTGTTCTGCCATTCAGCTGTTCGGCCGTTTGGTTGATTTGCATATTACACTATTATTATTATAGATCATTCCATCTAGAATTTGTGTTTGTGTATGTAGTGAGGTAGAGGTCAAGATTTATCTTTTTTCATAAGAATATCTAATCGCCCTGACCGGTTTGGCTCAGTGGATAGAGCGTCAGCTTGCGGACTGAAGGGTCTCAGGTTCGATTCCAGTCAAGGGTATGTACCTTGGTTGTAGGCACATCCCCAGTGGGGGGTGTGCAGGAGGCAGCTGGTCGATGTTTCTAACTCTCTATCCCTCTCCCTTCCTCTCTGTAAAAAATCAATAATAAAATTATTTTTAAAAAATATCTAATTGATGTAATATCACTAATATCTAATTAACTCAATTTTAAATATATTTTAAATTTATATTTTGAGGGCATACACATGTATAACTATATTACCTATCTCACTGGTTGACTCTTCTGACATTATAAATTATCTCTCTTTATACTAAGTAATGCCTCTTGCTTTGAAGAATACTATATTTAAAATTATTATAGTTATACTACTTTTTGTTTTGGTTAGTATTCATATAGTACAACTTTTTAGGTTCTTTGACTTTCAACCTTTTCATGTCTTCATATTTTAGCAGTGACTCTTGTAAGTAACATAGTGGATTTTCCCCCTCAATCTGACAATCTTTATTTATATACACACTAGAGGCCTGGTGTACAAATTTGTGCATGGGTGAGGTCTCTCAGCCTGGCCGGCATCGGAGAGAGACCATGCAAGGTTGGCTGGCTGCGAGAGGTTGTCTGTGGGAGCACACTGACCACCAGAGGGCAGCTCCTGCATTGAGCGTTGTCATAGTGACCAGTCAACCTGTCATTCGGATCGTCCAGTTGTAAAAGTTGCTTAGTCTTTTATATATATAGATAATTAACATTCTATTTATTGGGCAACAATTCTCCATTACCCTCTGATGCTATATATCCTGCAAGCAGAAGCACTGACTACTGTTTGTTCTATCCTTTCAGGGATCTTTGTATAGTGAACAGTCTTAGATAATAGAGGTAATGTCCTCCTCCAGAGTGAGGGCAGGTTTGCTTCCAGTTTTGGAAGACAGAGATAGCATCCCCTCTGGAACTAAGAGAAGACAGGTGTGCTGTCGAATATAATAAAAGTTACCATCTCCCTCTGGATCAAAAGGCATGCATGATTACTATCCATTATAAAGTATTTGGGTTCCCTAAGCTCAGGGAATGCAATGCAATCCACTCCTGTAATGCAACCCATGTGTGTGCAGATGTCACTGGCTCTCCTTCACATCATCCTGTGGGATTGGGGCTCAGAAAACTCACACACACACACACATGGAAATACTCCAGCTATTGCTATTGCTGTAAGTCACAAACTTCCCTTCATCTCTGACCAAGGAGTCTTATGTCTTCTGCTAGCATCTATGACATTATAATAGACTAACCTGTTAGCTTTCAAAGAGAGTAGAATTCAAACCCTTAACAGAACTTAGCACTTATGGTGACAAAGATGGGATGCTGACAGAAATATGGCTTTATGCAAGATGAAGAATGACAGCCTCATAGACCAAGAAACAGGACTTTACAGAAGTACTGGGAATCAGTAGTGAACATGCTGATTATTGCCTATTAGTGATGAAGAATTGGGAAGGTGGCTGCATGCTGAAGTAGACTTAAAAAGATAGTACCACAGAAGGTGCCATGGTAGGTATTAACTCTCCTCTGGGCAAAAGGACTTCCTCACCAATCTGATCATTGGCCTCTGATTTGCCCATGGTAACAACTATTACTAAGATACATCCTAGTTGGACAGAGGATTCCTCCTGATTTCAGACAACAGGTTACAGAGGTGTGCAATCACACTGAGTGTGAAAGGAGGGAATTTTATAACCACTATGGACACAAACTGGTGAATAATCAGAAGTTTAGCTAATTCGTTTGGTTGATTATGGAGTGGAGTGCATAATTGCTTGTTAAGGTGAAATGGCAATAGCTGGGTTATCTTAGCACCCAAAGATAAAGACCAATTTTCATTCATGTTGCAAGGCCACAAATACGCATTTGCAGTACTCCCTCAGGGATACCTAAACTCTTCTGCCAATTACCACAAGCATTTATTGTCACTACCACTACCCTCTGATGCCCAAAACTTTCACTGATAAATAACATTCGGTTGGCCAGAGGGTCAGAAGCCACAGACTCAATGGCTATAACTTTGGTGTTATCACACCTTCATCAACAAGGGTGACTGATGATGCCCCAAAACCTGAGAAGACAGATTCACAATACCCAATCCCTCTGGAAGTTTAGGAAAAGTAGTTGTCTCCCTTCCCCCCAATGAAAAGGCAGCCTAGAATCACTTTGGACTCTGAGTACTGGAGACATAGATGACTCACTTGGGCATTCTACTTGGTCTTTTATATCAGCTAACCCACAGGGAGTGTAATCTGAAGACTTACATTGGAAGCTAATAAGCAAGCTCTGGCACACTCCCTACTTTGAGGTAGCACAAACCTAATAACCCACTTGATCTACAGGTCCTCATGACTGATGATTATGTGTGCTGGAGCCTTTGGAAAAGGGAGGCAGCCTCCACTCGAAAGTATCTCTTTGGGTATAGGACTCATTGACTCCCTGAAACTTCTACATTTGAAAAGCAACTCTTGGTTTATTATTGCTTCCTGTCAAAACTGAAGCCCTGATCAATGGAGGCTTTGATATTCTCATTTTGGGACAGACCAACTCAGATTCATAACTAACTATTTGACAAGCCTTCTTTGTCAACTGGAAAGGGTAATATTTAAGTGATAGGCATGTTCATATGGGACTTTTAAGTTCTTAAAGAAATACCTCCAATAGATCATACAGCCCTCAGAAGACAATGGAAATCTCTCTTAAATAAAGTTCCTCTTGGTTACTCAGGGGAGCTTTCTGGAGAGATGACTGAAACATTAATTACATGCACCTAACAGTTATCTCTACAATAAGAGTAATCAAATTAGAAAAGGTTCTATAAAATTTGTCCCTGGTTTTAGTTGAACTAATCCATGACTCCACCTCATCCCTGGAAAGCACTATGGTCAGACTGTCACTCATCAGCATTGTTATTTGTGGATAATGGAATTGCCCAAAGCTTCATCCGTGCAGGCCAAGGTAAAATGTATGCAATAGCTAATACATTCTGTTAAACCTGGATTAATACCTCAGGCTAAGTGGAAAGGTCAACACAGAAACTTACAGAGAAAGCCATCTGTTTTTCTAAGGTAGACCCTGAGGGCCAAGAGATTTATTTAGCTGGCTGAGTACAGAACCTTGCCACCATGGTTAAGGCCAATATGGCAGGTAGCCTTATCCTGTTGCTTGGTGTCCCTGTTGAGATCAGCTTTAATCACATACTGTATGAAACAAGTTGAATGGATTTAGTGTCAATCGCTGTCAATTAGATTAATCATGCTGGCAAACAACGTAGATACTCATGGAAAAAGTTGTCATTATGGCCCTTGAAAACTGTATCATGTTTTTATTTTTACACGATTTGCAGTCTGACAATGTTGTGCCCTCTATCACAAACTACTCAATAATAGGCTGATAGTGTTTTCTCACATCTTAATGTTTGTTTTTCATTTGGCCCACATGTTTTATGTTCTTTCCTTTCTTGCTTCTTTTACTATTAATAAAAATTTTCCCAATGGATATACTTTTTACTATTCTTCTATTGGTTACCTAGAAGTTATAGCATGCATCCTTGATTTTTTTTTTTACAGCAAAAAATAAGTGATTACATTTACCACTTCACCATTAATGCTTGTACCTGAAAACATTTAATTCCACTTGTAACCTCTTTTGGAGAGCCAACTGTCAATAGCCAGTAAAATTGAAGATATATGCAGTAGCAATTACCTTTCAATGGCTAAACCCAAAGGTTTGTCAACTTTTAAAAATGTGCACAAGAAGACATATACAAGCCTATTGTTAGTGTACTGTTTGAAAGAGAGAAAGGGTTGGAGGCAATTTCATGTCCATTAGTATGACAATGGATAGATAAACAGTAGTAAGTTAATAAAATAGAATCATATAGAACAATTAAAATTCATTAAATAAACAGAGATCAACATGAATCTGATGAGCATAATTTCAATGACAGTAACAGAAGAATATGTACAAAATGATACATGAATATTAGAAATAGATTGTATATGGATAGGGACATGGGCACTGAAAATACACAAACATGGGGGAAGGATACACTCTAACTTTAGAAGAGTGGTTACCTATGGGAAGGGAGAAAAATATATGGGATAAGGGAAGGGTGCAGAAGTCTTACAAAATTTTATATGTTAAAAAATGCTGATGTATTGACGGCAAAGTGCTCATTTTTTAAAATTTGAGCAAACGGTATTTAGGTATTTAAAATCTACTTTTCCCTTTTTGAAATATTTTATAAATACCATATAAAATTTTACATGAAAGTTTCCAAATTAATTACAATGAGCATAAAAGTTACCTGAAAGTGTAGTTGCCTGACTAGGTGTTAATATAAACTGATTTTCTATATATTTAGGCAAAAATGCAGAAGCTCCAATTATAAGTAAAAAGTCTGAAGCTCTGGTCAGAGCTAGAAATACAAACATTGGAGTCTTCACCAGAATCTGAAACAGAAATGTTACATGTGGATTATTTTATTTTGTTAGCTAAGAATCAATATCCCTATTCATATGCTAATAACCAATCCACAAAAATTTAACCTTTCCCAATGCAAATTGAAAAAATATATATATACAAATTCGAACAGAAATTTACAATTCACCAATCTACACATACCATGAAAGACTGATAGTGGTTCAAACATGTAGTGTTTGAACCATTTTTATTTGTAATTTGATCTCCATACTGCCTGTAATTTTTATTTGTGGGTCTGGTAGTTTGCCAGAAAGATTGAGAAAAAAATAGATCTCATTAACTAGGGAAATTAGAATTTCCCTTAACTTTATTTTTTTCTTAGCAAATATTTTCATTTTCTAAAAAAAAGACAAAGAAAATTGAAGCAGGGAAAAACCAAGATGTCAGCATAGGTAAACACCGGAAATTACTGCCTCCCACAACAACTTCAAAAATACAACTAAAAGACAAAACGGACATCATCCAGAACCACAGGAAGGCTGGCTGAGTGGAAATTCTACAACTAGAAGGAAAGAGAAAAGCACTGAGACTCAGAGGAGGTGCGGAAGTAAAGTGCAGAGGTACAGAGGAGGCCGGTGGCAAGAGCTGGCAACTGAGGACTCGGCTGTCTTTTTGAATCGGGAGGGAGTCTCAAGCCCCCGACTGCTCTGAACTCCAGTTCCAGGAAGTCTCTGGGGACCCAGACTCATACGGGGAGAAACTGGACTGTCTGGCAGCGGGCAGAACTCGGAACTCGAGGGCGGCTTCCTCTCAGAGATGCTTGCAGCGATTACCAGGACACTGAGACTTGGGGCATCTTAGGGCAGGGCTGAGGATCAGCCATAGCTGCTTGCTCCCCCCTGTTGATCCCCTGAGACCCTGCCCCACCCAAGCTGCAGCAGAGGCTTTTGCATATGAATGCCCTGGCCCTTTGCAATCTGAAAATTACCTAACAAACTGCAGCTGGGCCAGACTGACCCAGAACTTCCAAGAGAAGGCCCAAGGCCCCACAGCAGCTTGCACTGCTTCACAGCTGGGCAGCTGGGCCACACCTCCAAACCTCAAACAAGGAAGGGGAATCTGCAGATCTCTTCATAGCTCCTGCTGGGTAGCCTCAGAGCCTCAGG